ACACACACACACACACACATCAGTATTGCATTCTCGTCCCCCGTGTGGGTCATAAACAACCGACCACCAGGGGGCAGTGAGACGACATCTGACATCCTCTAATCAAACCCTCGATTCAGAGGCTCCATCTGAAGAGTGCGTCCTCAGAGGAGGCAGACAAATGATCCCACAGGTGGATCCCTCCAGGCCCGACCTATCCCATGATTCATTGCTGGAATCAAGTCGACCTTTGCTCGAGTATCAAGCTTCAACTTAAGCTAACGTAATAAAAACGAGGGGAATTTAAAACTTTGCTCGTCGTGTCCAACTTCGCCTCTGTTGACCACGTTCTCAGTGAGACGCTGAACTGGGACACAGATTTTTCACCTGGGGGAGTTTTCAGGGAAACAAATAAAAAGTAACGCGGAGCGGAGATAAAAACCTGAAACTCTGAATTCTCACTTGAGATGAAGTTTGTGGCCGAAATGAAAGTGACGGAGCTTCTGTAAGAGACAGCAGGGAACTCTGACGAGAGAATTATTTCTTTCCTTCTCCCGCCTTCACACTCTCTCACTTTCTCCGCACGCTTGTGTTTCTCTGCCAGACGCCTCCTCTCTCAATCACGGCCTCTCTGTTCTCACAGGTCAAAGACAGAAGCTGCGTTCTCCCAGAGATAAAAAATGACGGATCTTTTTTTAATTTGAGTCGTTTATTTGCCACATGTGTAAGATGAAGAGTCTTTTATTCTGAAGTGCGCAGCGCCTACATGCTGTTGTGTCATCTGACGCCTCACAGGACAGTGACTGCTGAAGATAAATTAATAATTCATCAGCATTATGCAACAGAGCAACACTGAGGCGTCGCCGTGCAAACACAGAACTGCACGTTTGTTTTCTGGCGTAAAAAAGATGATTATCAAGAAAATACTGTTTCTGTTGTTTCTCAAATGAAATCATTGTTATAAGCACTTAAACAGAATGAGTTCAGTGAACCCTGCCGTCAGATTGAATTTAATAAAAACGGATTTTTACTTTTCGCGTGTGTACGTGCACAGAAATACTTGATGATCCCAGTGACTGAAGTTTGACTCCAGAGGACAGAAAGTTAAATGGAATGTGATTCTGTGGTCGTCACAGACACCGCAGGCGTCTTTAAGATGATTTTACTCAGAGAAATAAGACGTCTTAAGTTTTGCAGATTAACCGTAAACCTACATCCACACTTTCTCTACGACTGCGTCACATCCGTCTCTGAGGGGATTAAAACAGTGTTTAAGTTTATGGGTTCAGATCCTTTGAGCCTGGGAAACATTTAAAATGTCATGATGCAACAAACCGATCGATCCATCACAACACGGCTGCAGGAATTACAACGTGTGACAGATTATCAGGCTTGTTGATCTTGGATTTTTGGTTTCGTTACAGTCGCTCCAGACAAGAAGAGAAATATAAACAGAACCAGACCAGAACAATTAATACGTTTATAAAATTAAGAGGTTGATTCACATATAATCTATTTTTATTTATTTATATATTCAAGCTCAGATGAATTGAATCAAGGTTGAAATCATCATGAAAAGATTCATCTCTGTTGAATTTGTTATAATGAGTTGAACTCCTGCAAACACGTTACACACGTGTTCCTGAAGCTGCATCTCCAACCTGGAGGAAGGGTGTGTGTGTGTGAGTGTGTGAGTGTGTGTGTGTGTGTGTGTGTGTGTG